ACACACACACACGCACGCGCACACGCGCACACGCAACAGCACACGCATACGCGCGCACGCGCACACACGCACACAGCCACATACGTGTACAGACACGAATGCCGCCACACATCCATCACTTTGTTGAACTGTGTGCTGTGTGCTGCCACAGGTACCCACGCGGCTTGCATGCGCGAACACCGCTCGAACTCGCTGGCTCATCAGCGGGGCATACGGAGATCTCTATTTGCCCCTTGGCCATGCCGTCTTTGTGTGTCCCGCAAGCGCCGTTTGATATCATTCAACAGACCCGTGGAGTGCTGAGGTTGCGGCTGGAGGCACGCAAAGAAGTCAAAACATGAACGCTTCAGTCCGGAAGTACGTAGAGAGCAAGCGTGCCGAATGATTTACAAATTCGATGCTCTGTTTGTATCACATCAGGCGACCAGCGAGAAAGATGGGATTAGCCCGCTGGTCGTGCAGTATTTGGGAAGGTCAGTTCCTGCTGGGAACCCAGTTGCTGAGGATATGATGTCCTGCAGATGCACCATGAACTCACGTTGCCGAGGCCTCTGGCATTGCAGTATTTCATGCTGGAAAATACGTGTTCGTCGGGTCCAAGGCGAGATCTGATGTAGGCATTGCTAGCCGACATGCCGAATGCCACTGGCGGTGTCGAGGCAACTGACTCCGAAGTGCTGCTCGGCTCCGGTGACATGCGGACTGGACTTCCACCTCCTTTTTTATTCGAACCCCCGTGTGCCTCTCAAGCAGTCTACGTCTAAGTCTAGCAGAACTCCAAACCCGAGATCCTGTACGATACTGGACTGGGAGGGGATGACACGGAAGCCAGGGAACCATGGGTTCAGAGACCTGCCACGCTTTGGGCCCCACCTTCTGAAGGGATCCCTCAACAATAGCCGAAAGAACTCAGACACTCAAACCAACCTCGGGCTTCCGTGCCACCCTATCTCGCCCCGTCGAAGGTCCACCCGGAGTAGGCGCGGCGAGTCTTACCCGGTCCGTGCAGAGGGTTCGAGCCCGCGGACTTCGCATGCTGAGAGCATACTCCCCCTCTACACCATACCGGCACTCAAACCAACCAGTAATTCTTTCCGTTCTTTGCTGTCACCCCTAGATTGTTACATGACGGGAGAGACCGCGAATGGACCCCGAGCCGGTTTTGCGTGCACCAGCTTGCCAGAGGATGGATTTCGTGCCAAAGTCTGTCTAAGAGACTAGCACGCAACTGCTCAGCAATATTCAAAGCCGCGAGACCCGAACAAGCCCGAGCCCTTTCGTTCCGTTGCATATCCTCGAAAGTCCCAGGCTGCGGCTGGGTCAGCCGAGGAAAGACGCTCCCGCCTCCGCTGTCACCGCGGCAGGGCGCGCGCGGAAGAATTTGGAGGATGCTTTTGAGGCAAACGATCAGAATGTGTAGATGCATGTTTTGGGCACTTTCTGGGCTATAAGTATATGCACGGCGTTTCGGTAGTAGTAGTAATAGTAGTAGTAGTAGGAGTAGTAGTAGTAGTAGTAGTCATCGTCGTCATCGTCGTCATCGTCGTAGTCGCAGGAGTAGTAGAAGTAGTAATTAGCAGCAGTCGTCGTCGTCGTAGTAGTAGTAGCAGCAGAAGCAGCAGCAGCAGCAGCAGCAGCAGCAGCAGCAGCAGCAGCAGCAGCAGCAGGACTAGTAGTAGCAAAAGTAATAAGAGTAAGAGTAGCAGCGGGAGCGGGAGCGGGGAGTGGGCGCCGTACTGGTAGCAGCAGCAGGGGCAGGCAGGAGCAGTCGTCGTCTTCTTCGTTGTAGGCTCAGTGTAGCTCAGTGTGGTAGTCGGAAGAAGGAAGCAGGTCAGCCCTTCAGTAAAGCTTTCAGCCACGAGAAGAGCCTGGGAATTCATTCCTGATCAGAAGAGTAATAGGGGGTTTTAGGAAGAGTCGTGCCACGACACCTTCACATCATACAAAGGCCGGCAAGCAATCAACAACTTCAAACGAGTCAGCCTCACAAGCGCTTCGAGAAAGTGCTCAAGTACGCCCCCAGCATCCCCCGCCTGTGTGCCGGTACGCTCTCACCAACCGGGTGCAGCAGTGCCGTGTAAATTACTCAGCGAAAGCCTCCTTTTGCCCACGGTGCCAGCACGCCTCTTGCATGCACACAGCATGCCTTTGCACCCCCACCGCCCCCTGTATGCGAAACGCTGTGTTGGGGGAGAAGTAACTAAAAGCTGCATGTCTGGTAATTGGTTTTGGGGTGCCAGTGCAAGAGGCCGCCAAGAGGATGCAATTTAGTGGACAGCCGTTGGAAATAGACTGAAATTTGTATGTGTGAGTGTAAAGTTCTATGATCGTTTCTCGGGCGGTGGGAAGGTCGTTGACACGTGGACCAACCTCGGACCCATCACCGACTTCTGCACCAAGGACTGGTTGCAAACGGTGGGAGGGCAGGCCGTTGATAAACCAGGCCTTTGTTTCAGTCATGGCATTGCCTTGAGGACGTGGAGGGCCTGGCCTCAAGCGAGCTCATGACCTGCAGCGGTGTGGGCGACGTTGGATCCGTCCGCTTCGTACGGCTGGGAATTCCCGTCGAAGAGCTGGGTAGATCTGCAGGCCGTATAGAGTTGTATACAAGAGTTGGGCTTCACGAATATATTACTTACTAAGGCAAGGGTTGTCTCGGACTCTTGCAGCATCTTCCTGGACGGCAGGATTCAAAGCTGTCCTCGGGCTTTGGCCGCTGGGCCCGCATCACTTGGCAATATCCCGGCCTGGGCGGAGCGATGTGCTGGCTGTGAAAGGCCGGCCAAGTGGGGCCTACCGGGCCTACCAGCACAGACGTTCTGCTGCGTTTGACCTCTGAGGCGAGCAGGTCGAGGCAATTTCGTTGGACCAGGAGTCGGGTTTTCAGCATCATGAGGAGTCGCTCTTCTGCTGCGGCGGCAGGGGGCTTAGCCTTCGTTTCAACAAGCAGCGAGGGCAGCTACGGATGATTCCGCAGCATGCCTCCAAGGTTTGGCCGTGGCGGATGGCAAAGAATTCGCATTGCAGGTCACGGCATCTGGGGCATGGGCATCCAGCCTGACTTTGGAGAGAATTCGAGCAGTTGCACAGTCTCTCGGATGCAAGCCATCATTGCCATCTGTTGTCAGTAAGACTTGCTGCAGCAGGAGCAGGATTGCTGCAACTGGTATGGAGTCGCAAATCATCGAAAGGAGTCGATTCGGGCTTGCCTTGCTCTGGCAACGCAAATGCCATTCTGAGGAACTGGCAGCACATGACCTCAACAAGAGTGCAGCAGCGCACTGTGACGAAATCGCATGAAACAGCATCTAAGCATCTTAGCCAAGGTGGTCTGTCGAGGGGTTCCAGGTCACTGTGGCTGCAGAACTGCGAGTGTGCAGCGCTGAAGCGATTGCAGGCCAAGCGCCCATGCTTGCTCGTGTGGTTTCATCCGCGCAGTGAGTGGCCAGAGCAGGAGTACTTGTCGCATCGGCAGCTGGAGATGTTCGGGCGATCGAACTTCGCGAAGCAGAAGGTTGCCGATGTTTCAGACATCAAGCAGCTATGCTTTAACTGTTTCAGAAGACAGGAAACTACGAGATGGCAGTGAGTGCCTCGTGGCAGCTACCAGGCCTGACAGCATCGCACGAAACTGTAGCTGGGAAGTGTCACCAGACTTTCAGCTCATCGGAGGCGAACCCAGCTGTCTGAGCAGCAGACACGAGCTGCTGCTTGCGGGGCTATGGACTGACGAGCTTTGCATTTTCAAAAGTTCCACAGAGGTGGTGAACTCAGCCTTCTAGCCATGCCTTCTCCTTCGGGTTGTTGTATAAGATTCGTCGCAGATGATATGTAGGTGCAGCGCCTCCCTTTGCCAACGCTGCCCTGGTCCACGACCTCCGCTTTTATCGAAGTGGCTTGGCCGGGGACCTTCGGAAGGCTTCGGGCTGTGCTCGGGGTGTTGTGCGAGGGCTTCAAACTTTGCCTCGGCCGAGTCGGAGCTCCAGCTGTTTGCTGGCCTCCGGGACGGGCGCCTTCTCTGCGCCACGGACGACAGCGGAACATGGAAGGTCGCCCGCATCGTGCCTTGGGAAGATGTTGGACCGCATGCTTCATTCTGGTTCTTGCCTGGGACCGTCCTTGAGACCTTGGATAAGATCCGTGGAGCAGCCGAGCTAAGGTTACTGTAGGAATACGCCCCTGCAAGCTCTTGGTGCTGCCAAGCTTCTCATCGCGCGAGTCCTCCTCATTTGTCGGTGCCCTGTCGCATCCGTGAGTTTTGGAGGCGAGAAGTCTCGAAGCCTGTGGCAAACACCAGATACTCTGACAAGGACCACAGCTCCAGGGGCAATATGGGCAGGCGGTTGCCCCAACACGTCAGGCAGGACTGAAGTTGTTGTGCGGCTTACTACTACTACTACTACTACTACTACTACTACGGCTACTACTACTACTACTACTGCTACTACTACTACTACGACTACTACCTACTACTACGTACTACTAC